ATTGGAAATGGCTGAAGGAATCTTGTTTGACGAAGCGGTATACGATCGTTTATCCGAAGTGAACAAACCGGGATTTGTTTTCAACTGGCTGCTCAATTTGAATAAGATTCTTCCAGCTACTAACAAGCAGACGATTAGAGAATGCCAAGAAGATTTAGTACAGCAGTTACTCAATCAGTTGCCTCGGGCAGCTGGCCCCCCAACTCAGAAATTGATTGGCCGTTGTCTGGCCAATTTGTTTCTCGTCGGGGACACAGTTTTGCTTTATACGGCCATTAATACGTGTAACAGTATGCTCAAAAGTCGGGATGATGGTGCTTGCAATACTAATTCTCGTCTGGCTTCTATAACATGCTTGGGGACCATGTATAAATGTCTTGGCCGCATGATCGGTCGTTCTTTCGAAGATAGTGTCTCTCTTATGGTGAAGCTGATTAAACAGGTAAGACAGGTTTATCATTGATGACTCATTCTGTACCCATTTTTGATTTGGTTGCAAACTGTGGTTAAGACTGAGTCCTACAGCCACTCAACGCGACGACATTACTTTGAGACAGTTGAAGTGTTAACGATTTCTTAGCTTTCTTTGCGTCAAATTACCTTTCAGTTCTTAAAATGCACAATTAAATTTAAATATTTTCAAATTTTCCAAGGGTAGAGATGGTTTAAAGAGCTTTTTCTTATTCTATTTGATGTTTAGTGATCGCAGAATGTACGTAATAAGCAGAGGCTGTACAGCCTCTTAAAAATGTGTTTAGGTAAAAGTATTCAAAGCGCTAGGGTATTCTGACACACTCATTGGCTTCTGTACGGTGTAAAATTACCCGGGTGGGCTGAGCTTATAGCTGTAGAAGAAGTAACTTCAGAGCAGATATTCTCCCACTTAAATGATCAAAAGGAACCAAGAAATTAACAGTGCGAAAGTGGATTAGAGATCTTCACTATCTTCCATGAACTGAATTTGTTCCCAGTAGATCCGGCTTATGAGTTGGAAGAGACCAGCTCTACCCTAAGTTGATATATAATTGATGATAAGAAAAGTAGATGACCTAACCCATTCACTCGAAAAAGGAAGGCAGATATACACATCGGACTTTCAGTGTTCTGTGAGCAAATATGTAACAGGAGATCCAGGTTGTGTTGGGGACGGTGTAAACGGATTAAATGATAAACTATAGGCATAGGTGGTTGTAGCGTTGGATGCTTCTGTTTTACGTTGAATATAAAGTAATGACAGAAGTTAGCAGAAGCTCATATATGGAGGCAGTTTAGTTATCGAGGGACACTGGTTGTTTCTTTAGAATGTCATCAAATTAGTGGCTTTTTACTGCGAAATGGTGATTCAGAAGAAAATCGGACTTTGTTTCGTTTTCGGCCTCATTGAGATTCATTCATATATTCACGTACCCAGTTATTTCCACAGGAGGTATTATATGTTCTGTTTCATATACTTTTCACTTTTAGAAGCTCAGTTACGGTTTTTCCATGAAAATGACCATCATACTTTGTTCACAAGAAATCGAACTATATGTTCTATCCCATGAAGAAACGGGCGTTTCCTATAATAAATATACTGTTTTTAAACAAAGAACTAAATCATGACCCGTAACCACTTTTTTATTGCACAGAAGTGAATACAGAAAGGGGATGAACCCCAAAATGCAAGTATGTACTGTGCCTGAAAAGACGGACTATTCAAGTTAGAACTAGCTTGTTGATTCTGTTTAAAGACAAGAATGTTTTAAGTTGGAGAAAATGCTTGGAGGGGCAGAGTGTTTCACAGTTGTGCTGATCTTGGGAATAGAGAAGACTGAAAGTTAGAAATGCGACACCTGGGGACGGTCATTTGAATTGGGTGGCAAACCGCTTGTGTGCGAGACCTACGAGGAAAAACAAGTGGGAGAGGGACAGATGCGGGAAGTTCATCAGAACAATATCCAAAATAGTATTGAAAGATTAAGGATAAGAAAGCTACTGCTCGACGGTGAGCTATTAACTGCAAGGTACATGTTGGAGACGGGTTATTGATGAGATGAGAGGGCCTTACGTTGAACCCGCTCAAGAAGAATCAAATAGATGGGCGAAGATCCAGCCCATACATCACTGCAGCGTTCAAGTGTAGGGCGAATGTGAGCTTTGAAGAGCGAGAGTTGTATGGCGATGAAGAAATTTTTGATGGTGAAGAGGAAGCCGATTTTACGCGCAGCACAGGAGGCAAGTAGATAAATGTATGGTGACCATAAAAGAGAAGAAGATAAGGAAAGTCCCCATAGGTGATTCTGTGAAACGGAGAATGTTCGAGTTAAAATTCAATGAAGACGGAGAAAGATTAGTATTTAAGAGAAGTAGACATGGGAGAAGTTTACTGGCATGAAACAGAACGTGGTTGCGACAACCCCAAGCTGTACTGTTCCCCTGTATTTTTCCCGACCTAAAAAGGATTTCATGGTAATTTCCAGATCTATAGACTCCTTTCTTGATGCAGTGGCATAGCCAGAAATTTCTCGGTAGATTTTATTGTGTGCAAGCATACTGACGCATGTGAAAGAATAGCTAATAGAATCTTAGATACTTGCACTTCCATTGTATTATCGGTGAAAATTCATCCTTCGGTTGCTTAAAGCTCAGTTTACCTTGACTTGACGTGATAGAGAGCCCAGATAGTTTAAGGAGAAATCGAGGGAGTAACGGTCATCGCTTCGGTTGGAGTTAGCGATGCGTGAAGAGGAATAGGAAAATAAGATTTTACATTAGAGAAAGAAGGTCATCAGTGCATATCCGAAAAAAGGAGGACGCCGACATTCACAGGCACGGGCCGAGACATGGTCATATGTACTCGAAAGTAGGTGCCGCGGTCCTTGGGATAGCTTGCTGTTCAGGACACAAGTTCCGAAGGAAAGCCAAATGTGTGTAGTTAAGCCAACACACCTGCGTGCCCAACATGATCGAAAGCTTTCAATGTATCCAATGACACCGTTTGGGTTTCTCCAAGGTTGTCGACTGCCGCTGATCATGTATGCGAAATGAGCGCCAGAAGATCGCCGGGACCAGAAAGCTTACTGACGGTCGCTAGGCATCTTTTTCATTAGCTACAAAGTTCAGTTTTTATGGTATAAATAAGAACACCACACTTTCTGACTTCCCTTGCATTAAAAAATGTTACTCTGAAATAAGCCTCTTACGGGGTTAAAATTAGCGGCCTTTGAATGTTTCTGTGTGATATACCATTCTCTTTTGAAATTTTTACTGTTTTGCTTTCCATCCTGTGAGACTGACAACCCTTTTAGCATCAAACATTTTTTCCTTTGATTTTTTTCTTAGTCGGAGTCACAAGTTCGTTGTGAAACAATGAATACATTATGCAATTTGCTCGAAGGTGTTGGAGCTGCTTCTTCGATGTGCCATAAGGAAATATACAAAGCAGCCAAAACATGTATGACAGATCGCGTACCGTCAGTGAGAGCGGCGGCCGCGAAGGTACGTTTTCCTGTGTTCACATGATGATGATCATAGTCAATCAAAGGCTTCGTTTTTTAATAAAGTCGTGCGACACTGTTCGTCCCTGTATTTCAGTAGGCCGTAGTCATGCATGCAAAATCGCTACCTACTCATGTGTATTTACCGTCGCTCGTGTCCTTCTCTCAGCCAAAGAGAAAAGTGACCTGTCAAAGACAGGGCGACCAGCCAATACCCGGGAAATGTATTCCGACCGTATGGAGGCTTTCGAAAGCATATGCAATGGATGTTAATCGGTATGACAATAGTCGGTTTATTTACTGTGAAAGCTGAATGTTCGTTGTGGTATCTAATGATGTATAGGAAATGATTGAACAGCAAACGCGACATAGACTGGTGAATGTTATGGTTCTTATAGTCGTAAATCATCCCACAGTCGGATCAGTTGAAGGTAAAAAGGTAATGTGCGCAATCATTATCTCAGTTTATTCACATCTATTGAACAAAAGCATTCATCGAGTGCTATATTGCTTGCCCAATTAAACAGAACACATCCACGGTTTCATTTCACTACGGTGTATCGCACTGACTAGTTAACTAACTGTCCTAATACAAATCACTCATTTTCGATAATCCCTTCGTGGCCATTGCACTGATAAAACCGTTTTGCAATGGTTTATCAGGTCTACAATTTATGACAATTCTACCTTGTTTAATTGCACACTTCCAGTTGATTCACCTTCTCTTCACTTGCTTAGTACCATCCGTTTTACTCAACTCTGGTTGGTTCCTACGACAGTCCGTCAATCACCTCAGTCGGCCTGTTTTCGTCCTGGTGGTAGGTGGTATCATGCTGAACAACCCACGGACGAAAAACAAAGGGAAAAGTGTGAATCGGAACTGGGATCGTATCTTTCCTAGTTTTATACTAGCCGAGTACCAGGTCGCTATTTTTCATCCGCTGATATTGTGCGATGAAACGATAACGAAATCCGAAGGATTTTCTCACAAGTGAAAAAGCCAGCCGGTTAGGTACTACTGAGTGTGTTCACGATTATTTCCAATGGTCACTCTGTTTGCATTGTGTTCAGATTCGCTCATGTATTGTTTTTATTGTTCGGTTCTATAACACTATACGTTCACACAAACCAGTTTGATCATGTACAGTGAACATTACCTAATCTGATTCGTTCGACTACTACCTACTAATAACAACCCTATTTAATTAAGAGGGTCTACCACTATGGAGATTGTGAAAACTCAGTCTTGTGATACGTTAACAAAACCGTCGCATTTGTTTTCCTGAAGGAATTCATTGTAGTACACTTCTGAACGATATATTTTTCTTCATTTCTCATTCCGCCCATTCTTTTGTTGTTCATTAGAACGACATGTTTTAAAATTCACCCTCCAGGTGCATAAAGCTTACTTTGACTTTACATCGTGACAGTCCTCAATATATTTTTAATCATTGATGGTAATCGTGTCGTCTTTCTTCGTCACCAGTGTATGAATGCCCTGGTAGAGCATCATGCTGTGATTCATGGCAGCGATCTTGAGGCTACCGTCAGTCTCTGTCTACGTTGTATGGACTGCTCTAATTACACCGTACGTGTTGAGGCTGCTCGATTACTTGGACATGTATTGGCTCGAACACAGAACTCATTGCGTACCTCCAGTTCAAGTTCAATATTATCCACTACGGTTGTCACTGGGACATCGAATGCCGGTCCTGGTAGGTGTTACTTTTTTGACCTGTCCCTTGTCACTCATTTGACTTGTGTCAACGCACTTTCGTTTGTATCGCTTTTTCTGGAGTGTTTAGCGGACACTCGATTGATATTCAATCAAATATCAACGAAATAATTCCTCTGGGAATATGTTTGTCTATATAGTGGTCTCAATTTTCCTTGCAACAGAAGTTTTTTATTTAGCATTTTGATAACACCACCACGGTAGCATTCTAGACTTATCTTTTATTTAAAAACTCATTTACAACCAGTTCTTTCATGAAGCCAAAATACATCTAGTTAATTGGACAGATGCACGACTAACAACAGTAGCACACGCTTGGGTGTACACTGGTTTAAAATAAATAAGGTGTCAGCATGACATTCCATTGAACTGGAAAAGCCTAGCACATACCCAACATGATAAGTAATTAAACAAGAATATTCTGTTTTTCTTTTAAATCAAATCCAAATCCTAGATTTTCCATCACAAAAAGCAGTGATAAAATTAGTATACTATTCTAGTGTTAAACAATATTGCTTCTCGTCGTCGAAAGCGACACTGGAATGTGTAAAATATCGCACCATACAAAAAAAACGCGACTCTTTAAAATGCATCGTATCTTCTGTTTTCCCAGGAGTGTAGTGTTTTCAACATTTGAGTGCATAACTGCGATTTAAAACCCGGATTCTGGATGTTTAAACTGCCACATAGCCTTCAATCCCATCAGCTGAAAAGAAATCTTCAACCCCTCGCAACCCGAGTCGCTTTTCTGGGCTACTGCAGTATAGACGCACATCTACATGAGGTTTTTGGTCGCCGGAGTTAGTATCATTTTGTATACCATGTATCAGTCACGTGTTTGTGACTATTTCAGTGCCACAACAACAGAACATATTCGTTGATTAATAAGTATATTTCACTTCGAGCAATCACTTTTTTTGATTCACGATAAGGAGAGTTAAAGGGTAGATGATAGTTGACTCGGGAGCTAATCATCGGAGACTGGGTTGGGATAAGTTAATGTCCTTCTTGATGGGCTTGAAAGAACTCGCTTCTGTTCAGCTTGAAGCACGAAAATACATGGCAGCAATGTGAAAATAATCGGTCCAGTTTATGCAACCATTAACCATGAACTTTTGTGCGCCGGTTTTGGCTGCCTTTTGGTTGCCCATTTTAATGAAGAAGAAGGATTGAAAAGTTTAAAATAGAGTCGAAGAGAGTATTCCAGTAGACTTATATTACGACGATAATGAGTAGATGCACGAGCGCCACTGTTTACAACCCTCAGCCATATCATCCAGATTTTGTTACCATTAATTACAATGATCCCGAGGTCCCCATCTAGTTGACTGAAATTGAAAGTACTTTTGGATTTTACATGCGGCGGCGCACGGAAGTGTGTAGTTAATGGTTGTAACAACCGAACCAAACAAATCTGAACTGTCTGTTGGTAACCACTGTTCACGTTACTTCCTTTTTGGTCGCCTCCGATGTTTCTAAAACGTACAAATTCCGTCAGAATCCCCTACTCGCGACTTTACCAATGCCAACTACCACAGATATCGGTAATGAACTTAACTCTGTCGTAAAGATCGTACATGTTGAGCGTAGATACCCCATCTCGTTTGAAAGTACGTTGGCGGATTGCTGGTCTCTAGTTCATTTTCTAGGACTACAAGCTTATCATTTTCAAGTTCTTTGCACTCAAATGTCATGGTAGTGGGTCACCATCTTTACTTTAGAAATTAAAGTATGTTGTTCCAAAAGACATTTGTGGATGCTTTTTGTCGTAGTTTTACATCCCAGACGTATCACATGGAAGATTGCAATACATCGTTTGTGGTTATCTAGAAAACGCAGAGATTAAATTTACATTCAGGTTTATCGATAATGCACATTAGGATGATCTTGCTACAAACCATATAATTGGTTAAATGGAACCAAATGGTTAAGTTTTCCAGTTGAACTGGATAAATTCCGCTGACTAAATTGTTCCATCAAGTTCGTATTTTGCATAAGAGAATGGAAATGGAAACATTGTTTACACATTGTCCATCTCAGTTCCGTCTCACTATGGGGAAAGTACACGAGATGAAAATATACGAAGAATGAATTATGTAGGATTGTCTGATTAGCTTTTCTGAACATTATACAAACAATCCATCATGAGGGTTTCCGATTCAGTGGACGTCAGTAGTCCATGATAAGTTGCTCTGCATGCATATTTTATGATCATAGAAACACAAAATCCCTGATTACCATTTATTCTTGGTCTGATTTATCGAAAGTACAAATTGTCCACTCGTGCTTAGTCATTTGGTCATAAATGCATTCGGTTGTGCAGCTGGTCAAACGGTTGATATTTGCAGCTGTGATTACGAAGCACCTGTCAATCTATTCGATAGTAACAATAATATATCACATCTGAGTTCATGCATTCTAAACAATTCACGGTACAATAATCTTCATGATTTTCTCTAGGGTGCGATACTACTAAGTTGCCCAAGCCCAAGCAAGTGAATTTTCTTAGGAACTTCACAGCCGGAGCCTTCGGCCAACCAAGGCCTGGCCCGCAAGGCAGCGGTGCGGTGTGCAAAAACCGCAGTCTATTTGGGACCAATGTCCAGTTCGACGGATCATACGCCCTTCGGACGGGGTCAGACGTCCAAGGTGCCCAATTTGCCTTGATGCCCAATCGAGCCGGTGACCACTGCCACAACCACAAAAGTGTGGGTGTGTGGTTCGCACGCCTCTTCTTGGTTGGTTTGGAATCAGTTTTTTCAATCCAGCTCCCCTAGGTGAACTACCAGTAGTTAACCGACCCGGTTATAGCCCCAAATGTTAACTTTTCGTCCTCTTACTTTGGTGGGAAAACACCACCACGAGAATGTAGTGAGTAGTACTTCCTCAGAAAAGGCTGTTTAGTATGCTTGGTCGTAGCGGAGCATTTCGCGAGGTGCAAGGTAAGGGTGACCAGCCACAACCCAAGACTTCCACCCCTGACGAGACTGAGGCTTTCGGAGGCAGTATCAAAACCAGTAACAATAATAATAAGGAGCACTATCATAAATTATGTATGCATATATAACACTGAAATTTCACTTTATTCTTATACTTGCCTTATTCATATTGTATCTAAATAGTAACTGTTGTCGTGTGAGTAATACTCCACATCGAATCCAAAAGTGATCGCATGCTGCGTTACTGAACAGGAGACTAATCCTTTGCAGCTGTTTGCAATTAATCAGTGGGGATATTTCAACAATTAAGTTTCATTTAACTCACAGTTACTTGTGAGTAGTGGTGTGGGACAATTGATATTGATTGATTTCAACTGACCATCCTTCCGTGCGATCGGTCCGGAGTTCAAATCCTGGACGGGACGGTGGATATGCACTACTGATGAAGAGTTGTTTAAACTGAAACTGATGAGCTCTAATTAGGGCGAAGCTCGAGTCTGATGCTTCCGAGTGTATGGTGTAATCAATGGAGTGATGGTTTGGCGTGAAGGTGGAGTCCGAAGGATAGTCATTTCAAAGCAATCAATTATCTCTTAAAGTTCGTATTCGTTGTTTGTGTTTTTGCTTGTTATCACCGAAATTTGGATATCGATTGCTCTTTGGTCGTGATCTATATTCCGTCGATTGTTGCAAACGAAATATATGCGCGTCATTTAGATGAAGAGCATGTTTTCATCATTGACAGTTCCCAATACCAGTCTAGCGGGGAAACCGGACAAACAATGCAGAGGTTGGATGCAGGGGCAAGTGACCTACCTCCACAGACTACTTTGGGGTATGTGTTGCGTATGTCTTCAAGCAGATAGCGACGGTGTAGGATGTTTGCCCAGGCAGTTAGTGATTGAGAGATGTAAAGAGTAGTCAAACTAAGAGTATGAGAGCATGAAAACCGCAACCACGAGACTCGTTCGTGTAAGTTTGCGTTAGTCTCCTTGGATGCAGATCTCGGGATCATGGTAACCGGTGATTAGAGCCACTAAGTGATATGGTAGCGATGAGACAGCAACCAAAATCATCGCACGGCTAATGGTTGTCAAAAAAGAACTAATTCCGTGAACAGCAAGCTGGATTCTAACCAATTCGTGGTTGTATCTATCAAATATTCACGTTGCGTTAACCCTTCAAGTTACGTCATACACAAAATCGAGCAACGGTTATAGTGTTCGTTGACCTAAAATGAGCCTTGTACTCAGTTGACCTCAAAGCCCTAATGGGTTCACTTCTTTGCAAAGAGATGCCGCTGAAGTATGCAAACATTATTTAGATCACTGTACTAGCATACTTCCGGTAGCGTAAGGATATACGGTAAACTAAGCAGATCGTTCGAAACCATGAGCGTTGTTCGTCAGGGATGCCCCATTTTACCGTTTCTGCTCAGTTTCGTCATAGACGAAATACAGGAGAGCTCATTGAGTGATCTAAATGTTAGTATTGAATGGACAGCTGGGAAAAAGCTATACGATTTCGAGTACGCCGGTGACATCGTCTGTCTGTTCGAATGTATGGAGGACGCGCAAAACGCACTTAGCAGACTAGCAAGTTCTTTTGCTCCTTTCTATTTATGCTTTGCACCTCCAGAGGGGAGGGTGATGCTTGAAGAATGGGCGTCGACTAGTCCTGCCTGGAAACTAGATGGTCAGGAGTTACCTAAAGTCGACAGATTCTCGTACTTGGGCAGCTGCGTGACCAAAACGATAGCTTAGTACATGAGATAACCACACAAGTGCTCGCATTTCGAAGACTCAAACAGCATACGCAGGGCTGAAGCACCTGTGGCGACGACGTTATGTTCCACCGAAGTTGAAAAATCGCGTATACCGCGCGATTGTATGGTCAATTCTGCTTTGCGTTTGTGGGATCTTGAATTCGCGAGTAGATATCCATCGGTTGGAGGTTTTCGGAAGCAAAGAAATGCACAGAGCGATTAGTAGAGTAGGCGTTCCTCGTCTTCCACGTTGGGGTCCGCATACCCCGTAAACGGTTGATTGGAGACACGCAAGGACATGGCAGCCAACCGACATCAGTGGGGTTCTTGCTGTTATTTCTTATCCGATCACAATGCTTGAAAAAGTGTGTATGTACAGTTGGACTATGTACCCTGTGCTGAACATAAAGCCAGCTTTCTCCCCTCCCGTTGAAAATGAGATAAATCCCTATCCCACTTTCCCTGTATGCGTTGTGAGTTTGACAGATCTTCAGTGAAGTTCGCTTCACTGTATTTCTCCGGTACAGTGATGATGACTAATTCTTTGAAAATCTCCTAACTCTTCAAATTGCTTATTCCCTAAATCGCTTTGTTTTCAAACATCGATATTGCGAACTTTCCACCTGGATCCATTTAAGTGTTTTGTTGATGATTAAAAGCAGAAAAACTGATTGTTCACCTGCTTAACTTCAGTTACGCACGTTACATGTATCGCCTTGGCTCCAATGAAGGCTAATCCGAATCGTTTTCCACAAGGGCGCTGTGTATTGCAGGGTTCGATTGGTTTTTACTTTTGTCTCATACTTGCTCACCTACTTCCGCATGTACTCTACCGTTCACGTCCATCCTGCTCAACGGTCTGGCTCATTTTTCCCATCTCTGTGACCTCCTCCTGTTTGTACTATCGAATGATGAGC